TGCCTGCTACGGGCTGGGTGTCTAGCTGATTGTTACTGCTTATTCTGTGGGGGTACGTCTGACCCCAATGGGAAATCAGTAGTAGTATAAAGCGTGGATCCCTGTAGCATTTTGCATGATAATTTGAGGAAAAGGGGCACATCATGCGATTCTCTGGGTTTTGAGAACTCCCAAATGGACCGTGGAAGGAGCTTGCAAGTATCTGCTGATTTAAGTGTTCCCTGCAGTTCCTTTCGGCCTTCTGGTGCCAGGGCGGTGATTTAAGAGCCTTCATCAGAAACACAGCCCAGGTGGGTGTTATGTCGTCATGCAGGGATGTTTCTGAAAATTGAGTTTTCGTACATAGGATCCTTTACCCCCATTGGATTTTCACTGTGAAATCAGGGTGAAGACTGGGAGGCCCCTGGGTACCCCTGTTCTAGCACGGTGACTATCACTTTTTCCTCCTGTTTTTAGCGTGGTGCCCTCACCCTTAGCTGCACCGAGGGTCCTGGAATGCCTGGTGGGACAGTCACCTGGCCGAGTGGGGTGCAGGAGGCACCTGCGGTCTGCTTGCTTCCTGCCCGGGCTTCCGCCAGTCTGTGTAGGCCCATCTGCACCCTGCTTTTCAAAGGCTTTGGGGCTTTGTGGGGTGAGGCACTTCTAGCCACTTTCCTCGGCCAAGCGTCAGCTTTTTCAGGGCGTCTGTCCGTGGTGACCTGCACCTCTCTTCTAGCTCCCACAGCACCGTGGCTGCCACATCCCCTTCCTTTCCTTTTGTCTTTGGCCTTTGGATCCATCTCGTCCTTGTACGTTTACTCCACTGGGGATTTGGGAACCAGCAGCTTGCATGCGACTGGCCACGTTTAACTAGAAGTCCCACGGTTTACGTTTTCTGACGTTCCAAAACGGACTAGGAATTTCACGTTAGCATAGAACACATTTGGAAATTATATTTTGGGGGAAATTCTCTGAGATACTGAGTAGGTGGCGTTGTGAATACTGTGTTTTTATTTTTAAGGAATTTCATGCATCCGGGAGATGGAGCATAGCTGCAGGGCTAAGAGCATGGCTCTGGAGTTAGGCCTGGGTTTCAAATCCCAGCCCCGCCGCTTCCAGCTGGTGGTACTTGGGCGAGTTACTGGACCAACTCTGAGCCACAGAGAGGAGGTTGTTGGTCTCAACAAGGAAAAGCACGTTGTCCCTCTGACTTAGCACGCGGTGAGGCTCTGGGCCGGGCGCACTGCTGACCCCTAAGGCAAACTGTGGGTGCTCTTGGCTTCAGGTCTTTGCTCACGGTCGATGCTGAAGGAGCTTCCTCAGTCTTCTTGCAGGCCTTGGTTATTGTTATTAGCTTTTAATAAGCTCTCTATTTTGGAAGAATTTTAGATTTTCAGAAAAGTTACAGTAGTACAGGGAGTTTCTGTATACCCTTCACCCAACTTCCCCTAACCTGGGCGTCTTACACAGATAATCATGGTACGTTTGTCAGAACTAAGACGTTAACGTTGGAGTATTGCTCTTCCCTAAACTCTAGACTTCCGATGTCACTGGTTTCCCCACCGATGTCCTCCTTGTGTTCCAGGATCCCGGTGAGGGTACATATTGCATTTAGACGGTGGAGTTTGTAGTAGAGGAAGGCGTGCCTTTTATTCAGATACCTAGACCGAAAGTACAATATTTATATGGTTTGTTTTGAAATCCTCAGGTTTGGCTGTGCTGCTAGGAAGAGATTATATTGTGAGTTACAACAGTGCTTGTTGTTCTACCTACTTCTAAGGCAGTCAGGGGCTATTAATGGATTTAAATTTGTAAGGTCTGATTTATGTTTCAGAGGCAGGTGTTTAACAGGATCATTACCACTGTTTATTAGCTGCCCACAATTTTCTTGGCCCAGTAGTTTATATCACAGTTTTGGGGAATGCCTTGGAATCGATTACATTCCGTTACTGCTGAAGCTGATTCATGCCAGACTTTGGTTTCAGGATTCTTTGCCTGATGTTAGGGGACGAGGTAACTGAAGCCTGGTCTTTAGTGTGTAGCTCTTGGAATTTCTTTAAAGACTCTGGGTCGCTATGGGGGTAAGTGATGGTGTTAGTTGGATGCAGGGGTGGTGCAGTCAACCTTGGGTAGCATTTGCTTGCTCCCAGGCTTTGGGGAAGCCACCGCATCTCTCTGGGTCTCGGTTTTTCCTTCTGCTAAATGACGTTTTCTGGACTCAGTAGTCGCCTACAGTCCCTTTCAACTCTGAATGAGTCTGCGATTCTATCAGTAGACCGTTTGCTCGATTATCCATGACGCTTTGAAAATTCTGTGTTGACTTCTTTCCACACCCATGAAAAACTCCATCATTTTAAACAATTACTCAGCCAGTGTTTGTCAGAGGATTGAAGGCATTTGAGTGTGAGCCTATATAGTACTTAATTTGGAAGGTAACAATTACTGTAACATTTAGGTAACAGACCAAAAAAAATGGGTGTTGAATCACCTCCTGATCACGCGTTCTGGTTTCTCCACCCCCGTGGCTCCCCTTCGTTAGTGGGGCCGACAACTGCTCTGTCCAGGGCTGCTCTGATGGGGGTGCCCGGGTGTGAAGATGCTCATGGGACAGGCCCAGCCCCGGCCGTGTACGAGGCCCCGGGGGAGCATGGACACAAATAGTGAATCCGGAGTGGTGGAAAAGGGCCACCCTAGAAGTGGGGCACAGAGCAAGGTGGGGGAAAGGAGGACACGTGTTTAGAGAAGGCAGGCTCGCGGAGAGGGAAGAATCCAAAACGACACTGACTCCCGCCGCCTGTTTCCTGCCGGGACTGGGTGGTGTGGTATGTGCGCTGCTTTGTATGAGTCTCACGACAACCCTGCAAACAGTGTCATTTTAGGGTGGTAAAACTGAGCTGCGGAGAGCTCAGGTTCCTTGCCTAGGGTTGTTTGCCTCTGGGCCTTACCATCACGTTAGGCAGCCCAATTCCATTTCCAGACTGTTCTTGGTCATTTTCTAGTTTATGTAGGAGGCCGGGAGGCTGTCAAGGAGAGGAAGAAATCCAACTGGGTCCTGGATTTGAGGGGAAGGTTATAAAACAGTGATTCTCCAGGAGGGGCCCCCGAAATCATCGGAGATGCTTTTGCCTTGCAAACACCCCGGATTCCAGCATGCCCTCCCCTGAGAGATGCGTCCCTTCTGCCCTGCCTTGAGTGACTTTTCCACGAGAACACTGTGCTTCTCATGTGTGGGGGATGGATCCCTCGGTGAAGCAGAGGGATGGAAGGGAATTTTGCCAGAAGAGGTTGGACCTTGTGTTGGGAAAGGAGATGAGGGCAGAGGCTGGGGAAGAACCTCAAGTGATGCTGACAACAATGTGTGTTTTCCCATCACAGGATGGAGGGTGGGGAGCGTTTAGACGATGAGATGAGTGGGCGTACCTGGATCATGTGGTTTTAGAGTCGTTGAAAGTGGGACTTCGTGAGAGACCCTGAAACACACGAGGAGAGAGGTCGCTGGACAGAAAGAGGAACGGGGGGACTTCTCCATCTCTGTGCCTCTGTGCGGGCTCCTCGGTGGGGAGTGCACCATGCGTGGCAGCTACGTAGGCTGTTGAGTTCTAAAGCTATCGAGACAAAGTCGGGGAGAGGGATGGGTGAGGCTGTGGTGGGGAGGAGGAGCCCTCAGACTTGCTTTGATGATCTTTTTCGACAGCCGGGCTCATGGAGTCGAACTGGTCACCTTCAGCTCCCATCCTATTTAGTCAAGACATTTTTATTCTTACTTGGGAGTTTCTGAAGCAGGTGCGGTTTTACTGGGAGAATTTGGTCCAGAGCAAGGGACTGTATGTGAATGATGGATGGCTGGTGGCAGGAGGCAGTTCGTGGATTTGGTCTTTATTGTTGCTGTTGTAAGACCTGGTTCTGTCACTTTGAATGTTATTTTGGAGATGGGTGATGCAGATGATTTTATTTTTTTAAGGCAAAGCATAATTAAGTAATTTTTAGAAACCCATTCAACACTTGCCGCATTGGTAATAACTGTCACTTAGTTACGATGGTGGTGGGTGTACTCCAGCCAAAAGATGTCACGGCATCTATAAGAGTAAACAAGCCATGGATGTGTGTTTCATTTGGCTTGTGCTGGAAAATCTTTTGTCAGATTGGCCTCACTGAGATTTGAGACCAGCCTCATTTTTTTTTTCTTTTTCTCCTCCTTCATGTTTCTCCCCTCATCGAGTGAGTTATGGCCTTGCTTGGGCAGTTCCCTGGGTCTGCCACTTACTGCCGATGTGCCCTTGAGATTCAAGTTCTTCATCTACAGATAACAGTAGAAAAACAACCTCTGTCTCTTGGAGCTGTTGTGATGATAAAATATCAAGTGTATTTCTTAGTCCCTGGAAAATAGTAGATGATCAATAAATTTTAGCGATAAGAAATAGGTACACATGGAAGGGAGACAGATTTCAGCTCAATACAAGGAAGGACTTTGTAATAATTAGAGCTTTGTTATAATGCAGTGGAGCTCATGAAATAGCACTTTGTCTTGGAAGTAATCAGTTAGAACAGGATTTTTCCATGTTAGTACTGACATTTAAGGCCGGATAATTCTTTGTTGCCAGGGCTGTGCTGTGCCTTGTAGGGTGTTTACTGAGACTCTTGGTCTCTACTCACTAGATACCAGTAGCAACCTCTCCCTACCATGCTCCCAGCGTGACAACTAAAAATGTCTCCAGATGTTGCCAGATGTCCTGTGGGGGCAAAATCATCCCTGGTTGAGAAACCACTGAATTATAGGCTAGATGACAGCATCCTCCCATGGTCAGCTCTGTCCTACTCCAAAGTGAGTTCTTACGACAGTAGTTCCAGGAATTCTGGGGGTAGCTTTTTGCTTTGGGATGACACTTACCACTGGAGATTAAAGGCCTAACTCAACATGAAATCGTAGGGCTCTGTTGGAGCCATGGAGAGCTAATGAGGTCCTGCTTGGAAGGCCTTTTGTGGTTGGTTTAATGGTTTTTTGCTCTTTGTGGTTTTTGTAGGTCATGTTAGCAGCTTCCTATTGGTCCCTCCTGGCCCCAGCTGTTGAGATGGCCACGTCCTCGGGGGGCTTTGGCGCCTTTGCCTTCTTCCCGGTGGCCGTTGGCTTCACCCTCGGAGCTGCCTTCGTCTACCTGGCTGACCTCCTGATGCCGCACCTGGTGAGTACCATGTCTACTTGGGGCTGTCGTGTCGGGATACGTCCACCTCTGTGCCGTAGACTCATTTCGGTTCAAACTTGATATGCTCGTTAATATCTCCAAGTAGTCAATGGTACCTAAACAGATCACAAGGCATTAGAGCAGGGGTCCTCAAATTTTTTAAACGGGGCCAGTTCACTGTCCCTCAGACCGTTGGAGGGCCAGACTATAGTTAAAAAAAAAAACCTATGAACAAATTCCTATGCACACTGCACATATCTTATTTTGAAGTAAAGAAACAAACGGGCAAAAACGCCTGCATGTGGCCCACGGGCCATAGTTTGAGGACGCCTGCATTAGAGGAATTGAATGGTGATTTCTTCCTTAAAGAAAATAATATCTTGGTGAGATGACTAATCACCCCCTTATTTACATTTTGGTGAGTTCAGATTTCAAATGTCGGATTTCATTAAAAATATAGAGTGCAGGTAATGCGCTGTGGTGGCACTGTATGTATGAGAAGACTTAGACACTGGGAGAAGCGAGTGACCATGACTGTGGTCTTGTCTCTTACTGAGCTTACGATGTCATCAGGGAGATGACAGTCCCCCAGCTGTAGCATCAGGCCTTTGCCAGGCATGACGTCAGCAAGGGCTGGCAACCAGGTAAGGCGCAGTCTGGGCAGCAGGGGTCCGGGTTCAAGTTCACGTCCGCCGTTCACTGGTTGTGTCCCTGAGCTCCAGTTTTCCTTCTGATAATTGGAGGATAACTCCCATGAGAGGGACTATTAAGTAAAAGTTTCAAAATCTAAAAAGGCACCAGAATTAGGGGTCAGCCAGAGATTTTAGGGTTTTTTGCTGACCCAGGGCTGGTGGGTTGGGTTTGGGAAGGAGCACGGCCTTGCTGTATGGCCACGATCGCTAAGCAGGGAGAGCCAAGGCCAGGCCACTCGAGGGGAACCACAAGCCATTGGCTAACACCTGTTAATCTGCGTGCACTGTTGTCAGTAGAGGAAGGGGGTCCGTGCCAGTCACAGCGTGGGCCAGACACAGCAGCCTTGCCAGACTCTGTGCCCCAGCAAGTCCTTGAGGTGGGCAGAAGGACCCCCGAGCTAGAGCTTAAATTCCCTGCTCACCCAGAAAGGGCCGTGTACAGGAGGAACTATTAATCTCTGTGGAGAGAGGGGTGTCAGTGTCTTTTTTTTGTTTTGTCTTGTTGTGTTTTGGTGTGGTGTGCGTCTCCGTGTTGTCCACATATGTACCCCCGGAGGTAGGTTGAAGTTCTCTTCCCCGCCTTTCTGCCTTTATCTCGCCTTAAATCTCCCAACTGGAGAAAGAGAAGGAAGAATTCCTAGGACCTTGGCCTCTGGTCCCTGCAGCTAGTGAGACACTGATTCCTTGTGTTGTAGGACTGTCCTTGGACCAGATACCTGGATGTGATGTTGGATGGACAGTTGTCATATTGTCTTTTTTTTTTTTTTTTACTTTGTTGCCCAGGCTAGAGTGATTTGCCGTGGCGCCAGCCTCACTCACAGCAACCTCAATCTCCTGGGCTCAAGCGATCCTCCTGCCTCAGCCTCCTAAGTAGCTGGGACTACAGGCATGCGCCACCATGCCCGGCTAATTTTTTCTATATATATTAGTTGGCCAATTATTTCTTTTTATTTTTAGTTGAGGTGGGGTCTCACTCTTGCTCAGGCTGGTTTCCAACTCCTGACCTCAAGCAATCCGCCCGCCTCGGCCCCCCAGAGTGCCAGGATTACAGGCGTGAGCCACCGCGCGCGGCCTGTCATATTGTCTTAAAGGAAAGACTGTGTGTCATTTTTTGTCATCAAAAGATTGAATGGCAGTATCTGTTTCTGACCCCGAACATCTGGCTTCCTTGCTGTTGAATATCCCCGTGCAATCACAGCTTCTAGAGGCTCTCGATGGGGGCTGCCATATTCTGTGCCCCAGTCCCCCCAGTTATGTGTGAACTTGCTGTCGGAGCGTATTTTGCTCGCCCCGATGGGATGATTTGATAGCCAGTGGCCTTAACTCCTGAGCAGCAGGCAGAGTTTTGCTGGGCGGCTCTGCCCAGTCCCGGCCAGGGCTCATTCTACCCCTACCACGTGGGCCCCGCTGGGCTTCTAAGACTGTCCCTTGTGAAGGGCTCTGGGCCTTTATGTCGGTCATAAGTGCTGGGGGTGCAGGGTGGTGTCGGTGTATTTGATCAGCTGTCTGGGTGTAGGGGCTTTCTCTGGGCAGTGTAAATAGTCACCGGCCAATTTGTACTGTGCAGCTCATGTTCTAATAATATGCTTTGAGTATGGAAAAGGTCCCAGAGGAAAGTTCTGGACATTCTCTACAGAAAATCAGCAATGGTTTGGGAGTGGGGAGTGGTGGGTGCATGTCTAGGGAGGGGCACGGAAGGTGTCAGAAAGGGGCAGGATCACCAGTAAAGCCCAGAACCTCATTAGCTGGCAGAAAGATCGGCCTGACAGTAAACATCTGTTTCTAGGGCATTTTAAAAGAAATTAATTCTTGCTATTGATGTGAGAAGGGGAATTTGTCTTAGAAGGTCTTATAAATAGATGAGAATTATTTATAATCGCTACAGTCATTGCATACAAATGTTGAAAGAGACGTGTTTGGAAACAGTCCGTGGACCTTCACTCCGAGGCAGGCTGAAGGCTTCCTTTGGTTTCACTATTCCTTTGCTTCTCAGACCCAAAAAAGGTGGCAGCTCAGACCTGTGGAAGATGCTTTATGGAGTCTGAGTTAATGCATTTTGAATCCTGAGTCATCACGGTTTTCTGGCTTGGATTGAGCACCCACAGGGAATATAGTCGTCTACTAGGGGGTGGGTGTTGAGTTTGTCTTCAGGATGCTTGTTGCTCTTGTAATTTAGAAACCAGTGGCTTTTGAGGCTGTGGGTAAATTCAGTTCCAGATCTTTTCAGTTCCCAGGTCATCCCACCTTATGACAAAGCCCCTCTCTGTTCAGCAGGTGGCCCAGGAGTAGAAAGAAGTAGCTGGAGCAAAAGGCTTTGGCCGCGGTTCTGACCAAGGGGCCCCAGGATGTAGGGCAGAAAACCCCAGCATCTCTTTCCTGTCCTCTGGGGACTTTTCTGGTTGGAGTCTGCTAGGGCAAAAGGAAGCACGCCAGCCTCTGTTGTTTCACCTGGAAGCCCAGGACGGGCAGAACTGTGGTTTGAGGGATTGCTTTGCAATGCCCGTGACCATTCAGGCGCAAGTCCCAGGGCCCGCCCAGGGACATCAGGGCCACCGACCCTGGTTATTCATTCAGGACACAAATGGCAGCAAAACTCCTGGGTTAGTGGGAAGGAAACGGTTAACAACCGACTATGTTCTTTAACTCGTTTCTGTTCAGCCTTTCAGATTCGTTTGTCTCCCTGTTGGAGCCAAAGCAAAATATTGGTCATGGAAAGGGCTTTACTCATAACAGCCTGTCAGGTTGAAACCACTGTGGCTCTGTTAACTTGAGATGCATCAAGTTCCTCTCCGAACTGGGTGTTTGTTTTCTGTGTTTATCTGGGAATAGAGTAGAGAAGGCTTGTGCAGTAACTGTTAATGGCAAATGAACTTGACAGGGGTTCACTGAGACTTTGCCAGGTGGGTTCTTAATGAAAGGGGAGACGGGCAGGGGGTTAGGAAAGAAAGGTTCGGCCTGCTAGGCCTGGGCCAGCCTGAGCCAACACCCCCCTTAGGGACGGCCCTGGGGGGAAACAGGAAGGACCTTGAACAGCCGTTTGGAGATACTGACATTGTTACGATCTTTCCCGTTGTGTTTCTGTATGAAGTTAACAGGTGCAGCAGGCCGGACACCTTTGCCTTCAGTTGAAAAGCAGTGATTTTTCTGGGTTACGGTAGGGTGGGGGAGGGGGGTCGTGTGTGTGCCCCAAGGCCCCTTGTCTTTCTTATTGGTCACATTAGTATCACATGAATACAATTAAAAAAAAATCTCATCATGAAACATTTTTGAGATAATTTTATGTGAAAATCCTTCCCTGTTCTCATCTTCCCATACCAACCAGTGAAGGATCGCAGTTAGTGGATATCATTCCAGTCTTTTCGCTTTTTTTTAAAATAGAAAACCAGTTATGCCATACCTTTTAAATATTGAAATATAAACCCTCTCCCCCATGTGCTTGTGTTGTTTGAGTAGGATTTAAATTATCTTTATGGCAATACCAGCCCGGACTCCATGTGGGTCTTCCTTCTCTTGTGTGTGTGCATGTGCACATTTTTAGTTGGGATCAGTTTGCATTCGCTTCTGTGTTATTTTTAAACTTGAAATGATTTTATGGTCATGTTAATACCTATATAGCATCTTACCATCTTAGTGTGGTTTGCTCAAATGCTCTCCCTCTCTGAGTAGTTAGCTTGCTCTGTGCTTTAACATATGCTTATATGTGCCTCTGGAAATGTAATTTTGTTTTGTTTTCTGAAAAACAAATGGTAACATATTGACTGTGTTGTCGCTACTTGCTTTTCTCGGCTTGTTTTGCATCTTGGCAGTCTTTTCCCGGGTAGATATGTGCTCCCCATCCCCTCCTCCCTCCCCGCTTGGCATTTGGGTCCTGAGGAGGCTGCCGGCGTAGGTAGCAGGTGCATGTGACTCTGAGGCTCTTGTATCTGAGAGGATGTGGCCAGTAGTCCTGCCTGGACAGGCTCCTGGGGGGGAGGAGGGGCTAGCAAGTAGATACCATCTTCTCAGCTCCTCCTTAATTTTTTTTTTGTTGTTGTTAATAGAGATAGGGTCTTGTTCTGTTCAGCCCAGGCTATAGTGCAGTAGTATGCTCATAGCTCACTGTACCTTGAACTCCTGGGCTCAAGCAATCCTCCTGCCTCAGCCTCCCGAGTACCTGGGACTACAGGCATGCACCACCATACCTGGCTAAGTTTTTAAATTTTTTGTAAAGGCGGGGTCTCGCTATGTTTCCCAGACTGGTCTCCAACTCCTGGCCTAAGGCAGTCTTTCCACCTTGGCCTCCCAAAGTGCTGGGATTACAGATGTGAG